ATTTACAAGAAAGGTAATAGGGAGGAGTACTATAGGGAGGAGTCGGGCAACTATAGGCCAGTAAGCCTTAACTTCAGGGGGAAAGTGATGGAAACCATGTTAAAGGATAGGATTGATGAACATCTAAAAACACATGGATTTCAAGATCAGAGACAACATGGGTTTACTTCAGGGAGATCATGCCAAACTAATCTTATTGATTTTTTTGATTGGGTAACTAAAATTATAGATCAGGGTGGTGCAGTAGACATTGCTTACCTAGATTTCAGTAAGGCTTTTGACACTGTTGCACATAGAAGGCTTATCAATAAACTGCAATCTTTAAGTTTGGATTCCAATATTGTTGAATGGGTAAGGCAGTGGCTGAGTGACAGGCAACAGAGGGTTGTAGTTAATGGAATATATTCGAAGCTTGGACTTGTCACCAGTGGGGTACCTCAGGGATCTGTACTTGGACCCATTCTCTTTAATATTTTTATTAGTGATATTGCAGAAGGTCTTGATGGTAAGGTATGTCTTTTTGCTGATGATACTAAGATATGTAACAGGGTTGATGTTCCAGGAGGGATAAGCCAAATGGCAAATGATTTAGGTAAACTAGAAAAATGGTCAGAATTGTGGCAACTGACATTTAATGTGGATAAGTGCAAGATAATGCATCTTGGACGTAAAAACCCAAGGGCAGAGTACAGAATATTTGATAGAGTCCTAACCTCAACATCTGAGGAAAGGGATTTAGGGGTGATCTTCAGAAGGATATTGATACCTTAGAGAGGGTTCAGAGAAGGGCTACTAAACTGGTTCATGGATTGCGGGATAAAACTTACCAGGAAAGGTTAAAGGATCTTAACATGTATAGCTTGGAGGAAAGACGAGACAGGGGGGATATAATAGAAACATTTAAATATATAAAGGGAATCAAGGAGGAGACTATATTTAAAAGAAGAAAAACTACCACAACAACAGGACATAGTCTTAAATTAGTGGGACAAAGGTTTAAAAATAATATCAGGAAGTATTACTTTACTGAGAGGGTAGTGGATGCATGGAATAGCCTTCCAGCTGAAGTGGTAGAGGTTAACACAGTAAAGGAGTTTAAGCATGCATGGGATAGGCATAAGGCTATACTAACTATAAGATAAGGTCAGGGACTAATGAAAGTATTTAGAAAATTGGGCAGACTAGATGGGCCAAATGGTTCTTATCTGCCGTCACATTCTATGTTTCTATGTTTCTAAAAGAGAGGGTTAAATCTCAGGGAAACAATTTACACTCGTTTTAAGCGATGATGTCACAAACCTTCCTTGGTTTTCCTCCATGATGATCTATTTAGTACTCAATTTAATATACATTTTAAAGCTTCTATTTTATTGCCATTTTATGCATGGATGCACATTGGTTACATATTTCCCCCGGAATGTTAAGTGGTTAAGTAATCAGTGTGTCAGTTTATGAAGAGTCAGTCTCTCACAGCCCTCATGGAAATCATTAGTTCACTCTGATTGGATCTCAATCAGCTTCCAAAACCGCTTGAGAGTTAAAAGGAAATGATGGACTAGTAGCTGAGGAACTACTAGTCTAAAAAAAAAAAAAAAAAGACAGAAAAAGGCATTGGACTAAAGTATAGACACGTCTAAATGACAAATAAAAAAAAAAAAGGAAGGGGGTGTTTTAGCTCTCTTGCAGAATTTGGAGCTTGCAAAATCGGAATGTAAGAGAGGGAAAAATAGAAACATAGAATGTGACGGCAGTTAAGAACCATTCGGCCCATCTAGTCTGGCCAATTTTCTAAATACTTTCATTAGTCCCTGGCCTTATCTTATAGTTAGGACAGCCTTATGCCTATCCCACGCATGCTTAAACTCCTTTACTGTGTTAACCTCTACCACTTCAGCTGGAAGGCTATTCCATGCATCCACTACCCTCTCAGTAAAGTAATACTTCCTGATATTACTACCCTGAGGGGTAGTATAGTAATTATGATGAAAAAAGGAGTACATTATATTCAATTCTTATAATGCATGTGTAATATCATAGTAAAAACAGTTCTTTTTGCATGGTATTTTAAAAATACTCCATTATGTTCGATTTGATTATGACATTTGAAGAAAGAAATAACTTAAAGGTAATTAAGATAAAATACCAAGATTGTATCATAGGAATTGAAACACAAATGGTTGGAAGCAGGCAATGAATACGTAAGTCACACAGAAAAAGTATTTGTTAATGGAGACAGCAACGGTTTTCTTGGGAAATTTAGACATGAAGATATTTTAAAATAGTAATTAATCAGTAATTCATTTTGGATTATGATACATAAACAGATTAACCTGTGAGTTTGTAAACAAGCACGTTAACCAATGTTAAGGTATAAAAATATATAGAAGACTCTTAGTAAAGTCTGGAACAAAGTATGACACAGAAAAATGTTGACCCTCTCCTCCCCCCCCCCAGGCCACCAGCATAAAGCCACACAGTACTATTCTGCAGACTAACCCCGTAACAACGCAGGCAATTGTACAAGTTCTGAACCAAAACAAAACCTAGAATTTGCGCTGTACGTTTGTTCAACCATAATTTACCTCTTGCACATTAAGTGCTTCCACATGTAAAATGTAATTTTGTTCAGGAGAAACATAGCTTTTATCTCACATCAAATATTTCAATATGAAACATAATGGGCATAAAAACTAAAAAAAAAAAGTGTGAGAAATTAAGTAATTTTGCCATTTTATTTTTGTTAAGTTCTGCTTTGCAATTTAACTGTGAATTGAATAATACTGTTAGCTTTTACTGCAATAAAACATACATATTTTTATGCTGTGTTGTCCAATGTGTACAATGATGCTCACCATGTAAATGTTTTATGGTGTTCTGGAAAGTTAAAGGGTCAAATATAGGAATTGCAAATTAAATTATCTGGTATTTTAGCTGGGCTGTTATGAATTACAGTACATGTATGTATGTATGTGTGTATGTGTGTATATGTATGTGTGTATGTAAATGTGTGTGTGTGTGTATATATATATACATTAATATCAAAGGGTAATTAGAATGAACATGTTCTAAGACTCTGGCTAAATCAGAAATTACACACTTCCTTGTAGTCATACCCATTCATACTGGCAGTAGGAGCTCTGATAGGCTAAAAAGCAGTCAGCTGACACTTCCAGCCAATCATTGCTGCCCATTGCTGCTCAGGCTAACACTTCCTCATTAGCCAATGCAACACATAGGGGATGGACTGATTGAGATTCTAGTTTAGCATTAAAACATTAAAAACGGTTTAATGCTGAATGAAAGTGTAACCGCGGCTTAGTAGGGCTAACCATACAGATATCTTAGCCATAATTTTATATAGTTAGTGTAAGAGATCCTCTATTTAACATGTATAAATAATTGAGAATACAATATAAAATATGGATTGTCTTGGAAGCAATAAAGTTTTGTCTTTTTAGATATTTATTATATAAAAATATAAATATAGACATATAAAATCCATTATAGCAGAGTTTGTAAGATTAAATGCTTGCAAATATCATTAATAGGTTAACATACCCTTCTGAACATGTCATCATGTCAGCCTCTCTGTCATTTTAAGATGGAGCAGCGTCTGTCTCGAAGTCTCTCCTCTGTGTCTTAACATTTAAAAGTACACCTATTTATACCTTAGGTGTCTCCATTTTAGGGTTACCGTAGTTCAAATATGAAAAAGTAACACTTCTTTTACTTTATTCATTTTAGGACCTCCCTTAATTTGGCAAACATACAAGGCCTAACTAAAGGGTGTATACGTCATGGAAATTTTCCTGACTTAGTTCAAGATGGCATCTTAAAGTCTGAACATCCTTATATACTAAGGTTACCACAGTATATTGTGTACTGCAAGTGTCGTAGAATAGCCTTGAAGCTTGTTTATGCATTATTGTTATTGTAATTCGTCTAGGACAAAATGGCGCAAACATATTATGCACTGAGGTTATTGCTTAAAGAAACAGTTATGAAAAACAATATGTTCCATTTCTAACACCTTGTCAGTTTGCAATATCTCTTAAAGACAAAGTACACAGTTTAAGAAATACAACATTTCATTCTAAAACTTGTAATATTTGCATTTGCCCATAACAAAAGGAACGAGAAGAAGAAGATACACTGCCTACAGTGTCCCTTTAATGCCCACACAAATCATTAATCAGCCCATAAAGATGCTGTGTTGCATTTCCATGATATTATCCCTGTGCAGCAGACTTTATGCTCAGAGAAGGGATTTATGGAAATTATCAGTTAATTATTATTAATTTATCAGCTTTTTAGTTATGGAAGCTGAACAACTATCTTATTGTAACGGTGCCTGCCCACTCCTGCCTCGTCTTTGTGTCATTTTGACATCCTCCACCCAGTCGCACTGTACTGGCAGATAATAGCACACTCCATGTGGCATTACGTCCTTGCTCACGTATATCCTAGGCACGCAGGAATGATGCACATGGTGTCATTTTATCAAATTCTATAAAAGTCAGTTTTGACAAGCAGCCTGCTATGACCTGATATGGTCTCTGTAGGACCCAATAGCACATTCTTGGTTTGTTATGATAGATTGACATTCTTAGCCGGTTAAAGAAGAATAGAAACACATTTTTCCATTCTTGATGTTTGGACAGATTGGTGGTGTCCATTCGTGCGGAGCACCTCCTTGGAGATTGGTCGGATAGATAGGTGACTTGTCTTGATTATCCTCTGACTCAGCTCCGTCTCTTGATTACATGTACCACTCCTGTCCTCGATCAAGGCTATAACCTGACTATTCTCTTGTCTGTTTTTGCAACCCTAAGGACCAATATGTTTTTTTATACTATACATTTTTAAAGTAGTTTAGGTGTCGGTTGAAGTACTGCGGCTCTCTCCCACACTGTGACACTTATCTCTTTTTGCAAAAACCCTGTGTGAAATGACAGAGACAGAGAGGGAGCTGTCACATTACTTTCCATTACTTTGCTACACTAACCAGCTCCAATCGCCAGTAACCTGCTCCAGTCGAGGGTAAACAGCTCCAAATGCAGGTAACCAGCTCCAATCGCCAGTAACCCGCTCCAATCGCCAGTAACCCACTCCAGTCGCCAGTAACCAGCTCCAAACGCAGGAAACCAGCTCCAATTGCCAGTAACCTGCTCCAGTCGAAGGTAACCAGCTCCAATCGCCAGTAACCCAATCCAATCGCCAGTAACCCACTCCAGTCGCCAGTAACCCGCTCCAATCGCCAATAACCAGCTCCCAACGCAGGTAACCAGCTCCAATCGCCAGTAACCCACTCCAATTAGGAGAATCTCATTCAAAACTTCTGGGGATGATCTTATCTCTTAAACTCAAATTGCAGCCCTCACACACATGTGACTTGAGTGACACAAAGTGTTTAGACTGACCCTTCAATTGTGTTATAAAAATTAGTATTTTTCCTTTTTAAAAATTTTTCTGATCATTAAAACATTTTTGCGTTTAGATCAAGGCGAACTGGTACCATCTCCTTATACAATGTGTAGCACTTAGAGCACAGCGTGTTCTCTTAAACAATTAAACACAATTTATGGACCCACTATGTAGAAGTGATGAAATAAAACTGTCTGAATGTCACTCAAACATCACTTACAAAATTAGTTCTAAATTTAACATTCTGCTGCAGGATCATCAAAACGTGTCTAAAAAGTTAATCTAACTAAGCTCTATAGAATGATATGCATTGTTCATTTCCATCCCTCGCCCCAATATCTATAGTCATATAATGTTTTACTGATATAGTTTTTTTTTAATACTGTGCTATACTTTCTCCATGGCTACTTACAGTGTGGGCTGTGTACAATGTCAGTAGATATGGCAAACACCACACTGACCCATTTACAGAACTGAGCCAATGAGCTGTCAATAAACTGATCTAATGAATGAAACTACTGCTGCATTGGGAGCTAAATATTCCCTAAACCCCCCACTGGATAAGGGTTTATATGGTGTAAGAGCCATTCAATAAATAGAATCAAAGGCTCATCTTGGTCTGGGCAGAGCTCACTGCTGCTGGAAATTGAAATGTATCTTGTATATATACATATATATATATCATATGAAAAAATGTATAATTAATTAAATGCATGCCTTTTTTATCAGGCATTGTATTATTTTTGTATTTGGGCAGTGGAGTGTCCTTTTAATGATTTTATTAATGTGACGCTCCATTTTCTTGAACTGTATTAAACAAACATCCTAGGCACCATAACCACTACAGTCCACGGATTCCCTGGAGCCCTTGCAACATAAGTTGTCGAACATAGCATTTACTGGAGCCAGGAGCTCCTGCAGGTGTGGCTGTTTGGCTCCAGGAAAGGCTGTGACCTGCACCTGGCAAACTCCAGGAGGTAGGAAGGGCGCCATTACCTCTACAGCGGGCATCAGTGGTTTTCAATTGTTCCTTTAACCATTTAGCATTACAATTTAGTTAAATTATGGCCAGGCTGGGGGACACATTGCATTGGAGGGATAGAGACAGAAACATTGTTTCATTTCTCCTCCTCTCTGTGTGCTCTCTCTCTGCTGATTGCCAGGCGCAAAGGGCAGAGCTTGTGACAATGATTGAGCCACTCGGTTCTAGTAAGAGGGCAATACAATGCATCACTTGACAATTATACTTTTTGAACCAGCAGGCAAACACTTTTAAACAAATATATCCCTCAACCCCCTCTGTTCCTGTACGTCCAGTGGTCTGATCTCAATTATGTGTCTGTTAGTCCACCCATTGTACAGCGCTACGGAATTTGTTGGCGCTATATAATAATAATAATAATAATAATAATAATAATAATAAAATAATAATAATATAAACGTTTATAAAGCTGGTCAGATTACAGTGTTGGGCACGCCTCTCAGCTAGAGGAGTTTCTTGCCCTTTTCCCAACCGTTTTATTTTGAAGGAAGTTGAGGGAGAGTTCATTGAGTAATCCATGCAGGTATCACGGAGTAAAGCGGCTCAGAAGTGAAATGTACCAGTCTTATCTTGTTTACATGTTCTCAGTTTAACACCTACTCCGGTGACTACAATGTAATGTAATCTCGCTCGGTGTTTGTTAACGATTGGCAGCGTCAGCCCAGCAGTATAAAGTTCTGGGATGTTCGACTAGAAATCTTTGAATATTTTACTGGTCAGAAAAGTTTGGAATAAAATATTTAGCCATGATGTCTGTGCATTTATTTTTAGTCTGTGCTCAGTGGAAGTACTTTAGCTATAACAGCAGTTTTATCCAGAAGTCTTCATTTGCATTGCATCCAGATTGGCTGATTATACTGCCATTCCAGGCAGCTCTGACAATACTGCCAGACATTGTTTAGAAGTCAATTTCTAAGCGGAAATCACACCTGTGCCTATAAAAACAGAGGCAGGAATAAGCTCTGATTGCCCTCTGTTAATGCTGATATCCTAATGCATCAAACTGAAATGATATGTATTATCTGATATGCCTTATACGATACAACTATCCATTCTTCAACAATGCACTTAGAGTGCCAAAGTAGCAAAATGTCCAAAAATTACATATAAAATATTTGATCACATTTTATTGTTGCAGAAGAAAACTCAATGTTGTCATAAAATTCTGGTGTAAATGTTATGATGCTCAATATATATTTAGGTAAAATTAACCTTATAGCAAGCTAATCTATAGATCAAATCAGATAGAAATTATTTTAATTGAGGTTTCTCAATTGAGCCAATTTTGTGACCTCATCACAAGATAAAAGAACGCACATGCTGGCTAATGTTTTTTTTTTTTTTTTATATTTTTCTTAACATTCTGCCAGAAGAATCCATAGCAAGATTTAATTAACATACAAACATCTTTCAACAAAATCTGTAGATCTGTAAAACTGGTATATAATTTATTATCAGCGACAAAACAAGGCAAGCAAGAACAAAATGTGCAGATTTAAATTTATATTTGTAATATTTTATTTATAATATTAAATTTATAACACTTAAATGCTACAAATTTCTGGATAAGAGAGCTATTCATAATCAGCCGCATTTCCTACTACTAACACTCAAAAAGCTTATAGGGACACTATAGACATCAATACAACATTAGCTTAATTAAGCAGTTTTTGTGTAAAGATCATGTCCTGATGTTTCACTGCTCATTGAACTTTTATTACATACAGGAGGCTCCTGCAGGGTCTAGCAAGCTATTAATAGAGCAGATAAGAATTTTAAATTAAACAGTGTACTGTAAAGAAAGTGCAAACATTAGATGACTCTTTACAGGAAGTGTTTAGAAAGGCTGTGTACGTCACATGCAAGGGGGAGGGGTGGTGACTAGGGCTGCATAAACAAAGCAATTTAACTTCTAAATGGCAGAGAACTGAGCTGTAAGACTTCAGTGGCATGATATATACACCAAAACTGCTTCATTAAGTTAAAGTTGTTTTGGTGGATTATAGTGCACCTTTAAGACCAGTGCAAACTTCTCTATGAAGCAGTTCTTCAAATTCTTAGTCAGACCTTGGTTTAATTCTTTTGAATAAGCTTTTTTTTTTTTTTTTAATGATCACAATCTGTTAGAAAAACTTTTCAAATGATTATCCTTCACAAAAATAGACTTTAATGGTGGCTTTTGTAGATAACTCACTGCACAAAGACATCTTCATTAAGATGAAATGCTATGGGTGACTATAGTATTTCTTTAAGTGAAATCAATTTGTTAGACTAATTTAGTGTCTCGCAACTTCTGTGTTTCTTTAAGTTCATGCACATGTGGCCTTTAGTTATAATTTTATATGTGCTTTCATAGACTAGTACATTTTCCTCATTATGCCCAGGATATATCCATGAGAAATCCATGGAGGTGTTTGTCTATGAAAATGTCTGTACTACTGTATATTTCTGATTGACTCTTGTAGATACTTGGTTGAAATCTTAGTTCATTTGCTACAGTTTTTAACAAGTAAGCAAATAATTGTAACTAACAGTACAGGTAAAATGAAACATACAGTTGCTGTCTTCAAGGTAGAATCCTACAGCAAGAATAGTCCTTAAAGGGTTTACACCAATCATCATAACCACTACAGACCACTAAATAACCTGCCAGGCGCCTGGTCCCTTCTTCAGTAGAATTACAACATCCGGATTCTGCAAAGCTGCAGATGCAATATCCTGGTTCTGTTGCTCATTTATTGGCTGAGAGTATTAGATGACTGATGTCCACCAATGAATGACATGCATAGAATTGACATTTGTCAGCTCAGAATTTTAGGTCCAGGCTTGCTGATCGCACCCCAGTAATGCTGCTAGAGGTCAAGTTACGTCCCCGGCAGCAAAGGGGTTAAACTCAGTGTGTGCAGCGTTTCATAGCAAAACACTGCACACACAGACTCCAGGCACCATAACCACTTCAAACCACTGATGTGGTCATGGTATTTGAAGTAACCTATTAATAAGAAAAAATAAGAGTTGCTGGAAACCAAGAGATCTCTTTAGTCGTTTAATACCTTCAAAAAACGAGAGTATGTATCAGAGTGGAAATATGATAAAACCACATTCCTGGAGAATAACCCAGGAGCTGCTATGACTATGAGGTCAAAGTGGAAATCCTACGTGGCGGTTGTTTTCAGGATTTATCAATGTTAAGGATCCTATTTCGAGGTCGTGTATTCATGATTTACGAGTCAGCAATGATATTGAAAGGTTTTGTAAGAGACTAATAGCCGGTTTGCAAATCCATGGTCTAGTAAACACAGAATCAGATGATCCAGCACAGCACTGAAAGAGTTTCAGAGAAAATCAAGGCCAAGTTACGGAAGTCAAAATTTGGTTCACATTGCGTTAGAAGATCTAGTTCGGCATTGAGTGAGTTTGAGAGAGGATCTGTCTGGAATAAAAAGCAGAAGTCCAGTGTACGTGGCATGACAAATGCATATAGTCGAGGTCAGTACCCAGAAGTACGTTTTTGAGGAAGCAGTCAGAAGTGCTACATTCACGAAAATGGAGGAAACACAACAAGAATTGACCCATCAATCAGTTTACTAAAGGGACACATGGACATTGCAATAAGGTCTTCTAGACAATCTGTTTAAATCCGATACAAAACGCAATGTGGTCACAACAAAAACACAACAGCTACAATCTCTAATGAGGAATCTTTGAAAGCTTTTTTGGAATATTTGCATCAAAATCTTATAGATATCAAGTTAACTAGTGAATATAGCCATACTGACATCAACTTTCTTGAACTATATATTTACTATTAACAGTTTCTCTAACAGATATGTTTTTTACTT